GGAGAAGTCTTGTTGTTGCAACAAATTATAAAACAGACATCTCCATTTATATTATAACTTCGTATCTAACGATCGGATTTGTATAATTGTTGCACCAATCGAAACTGATTTTTTTTCTATAGGGAAATTCAAAAAAAAATGATTTTCGAAAAAAAAGAATGGAAATGTTTGATTGTTGCACCCATGTCTTCATTGCATTATACCTACTTACCAAGTATTCAATGACGAGGTTCATTCGAAATGTACTATACAATCAGAGTGAGTTGTCTAGTTTTTAAATTTAGAAAATTATGTCTCCTGACGATCTGCCCAAAAAATAGGTACCATTTGCAGGATTTGACGATTTTGTCAATTTACTAAAGATGGCGCTCTGCAGACATTCACTCATTGAATTACTRACGCAATTCGCCCAAATATAGATAGATGTTAGCGTCATGCACTTTTAATAGAATTTAATTGGAAGTCGAAATTTAGAAATTAAATGCCGAAAAATATGTTTTTAATGGTTTCTATGCTTTGCTGCAATTYGTTTTTGGTTCGTCTTCGTTTTAATCTATATACATATTAAATTATAAATTATATTATCGTTATAATCTAATTGTGTCGTTATATACACTGTATATGAGGTAATAGGTAAGTAAAAGTGTAATAGGTTGCCTCAAAGTACGGTGTTATTATTTATATGATAGTATTTAATTAAAATTAATTGAAACAAAACGTATGGCCTCGAACGAATATCATAATATTACTGCAATGGAATATATTAATTACAATATAAATACGAACAAAGCATTTAAATTATATAATTACCCATTAATGTTCTCGTTATAAGTACTATTATTACACTAAATATTACCTACGCTGAATGAATTTAAATTTGGTCGCAGATTTATTACATAAATCAGGGAACAAATTACAAAATATATAAGTTCGGTAGCTCTTATATTTATGTTAAATTCTCTGTAACACTCGGTGATGACAACCTATATACGACTACAGTCTAATGGACAATAATAGCAATTCATTAATGARTCTATAATTACAATTATTTAAAAATTACGTCTTAATTATTTTGTCATCCCGTGAACAATGAAATATATATGAGTATAYTTTTTTTTACAATTAATCATCTAAGTAACGTCGTAAATACAATAGTTAACTTAAAGTTTTTAGGGATATAGTCGATATAGGTACCTAAGTTATATATAAATATAATAAATTTGGGTCTGATATGTTTGCCCGAAACTCAAATACCCGACACCTCAATTGCCCGACACCATTTTCCCGATACTACTTTTACCCGACAATGTATTTGCCCGACAATACATTTGCTTGACATTACATTTTGCATTTTTTTACTGTAAGTACGTAATATTATTATAGGTGGTACCTTTTTTTTATTTTCATTATTTTATTATTATAGCTTTTTAAACAGACAATAATATTGTTCTGCGTTAAAGTATTAAA